AAAGTCTCTTGCACTGGACCAATGGTCGAGCTGAAGTTTCACCCAAGTTTGCTCAAGTGTGATTGATTAATCTCGAACGCGGCGTAAGAACATCCGGACACATGTCTTGTTTCTCCTTTCATTATCCGGCCAAGACAAAGAGCGAGAATGATATATTTTCGGCTTTTTCGAGAGAAATCCAACTTGTATATTTCGCGTCTAAACGGATTTTTCCGTTTATTTGTTAAGGCGCGTTTCCTCGTAAATCTAATATGATATTGATAAAAAAACGTTTTTCTTTTGTGTCCACGTAAGCGCGTTTCTGCCTATACGATATGTTCGTGTCGACACGTCCGTCACGTTCGACGACGGCGAAAAAGAGAGAGAGAGAAAAAAAAAGCCTAGAGAGAAGTTAACGACAACAACGGCTGTTTCGGTATATTGTACGCGAGGCTAAATTTTACATTCAAATTCCAAGTCTTGCGAGTGTGTATGTGTGTTTAGCGATTTTTCGAGCTATCGCATCTATCGGTACTATCGAGCGAACCACTATATTTCGAATCGCGTTTTTTTTCTCTACTGAAAAAAAACCTCGTAAACTCGAATGGATTGCGCAATTCATGATAGCTATATATTCTATATATTAAATGTATGTATATAAATATATTCATATATATATATTCACATAGGTATATAAAAGCCCGGTGCAATTGATAAGGAAAAGTCGAGTGGCACGTGCGATTACGTGCTAGCGTATGCGCTCGAAGATTTGCGCTCGTGCACATATATATACAAATGCTTCTCTCTCGCTCTCTTGTGCTGCTGCTGCTGCAGTTGTAATAATCTTGCGCGCTGTGCAGCACGGCGACGATATTTTTGCGTAACGCCTGGAGCGCCTGGAAAAAGAGCTATATAAATTCAGCTCTGAATTCTTACATTTACTGGCCGTCGTCGGATGTGCCGTAACAAACGGCTACTACTACTACTACTACACGTGGAAAATCCATTATTACATCAACGACTTTTTTTATCTTCGTCTTTGGAGTCTCGAGTCGAAGTCGTTGGAATGAGAAATCATGACTGTCGTCCGCTGCCGCGGCGAGTAATTGTCAGCACTCGATGCTCCGCGCGCGCGACAATTGTTATTTCTCGATACAGAAGCTGCCAGCGAAATATGCGCATAAATACATCGTCGTTGCAAGAAATCGTTACAAAGGTGTCGTGTAAGACACGCAGGCGTCACACGAGCGCATAAAGAACCAGAAAAATTGCACTTCCTTCTACGTCAGAAGCAGTGGCATTTTTTTTCACTTTTTATACAAAAATGCAGTGTCCGTTGACGACCTCGAGGTGACGTCGTTGTCGTCCGTTATATCCTGGCCAAACTAGAAAAAAATTCGCTGATACAATGCGAATCAAGCCGCGAGATCGAAAGTCTAAGATAGCCGGGAATAATTTTGCAAGTGGGTAAAACGTTGCAGCGCAGTGGCGCATGGTCATACTAATATCCCATGCCGCATGATGTAACACACTTTTCAACGATTTGCGCTGTTTTTTTCCTGCGCTCTTATCGGATCCGACAAAAATTTCTTGTAATTTTTAGCCGCTGATTTACTGTTAAAACATGATAAATAATAAGTGGTATGCGAAGCATTAAGAACGATCGAAGATTTGACCGAAGCTCTTGTACGGATAAATTCGGACTATCCCCGACTCGAAGTGTGTGCGCGCGTGTATGTGAACCGGCTGGCCATATACCGTCTGCATGTCGTACGGAAAAAACGTCGAAAGGATTTCTGCGGAGAATCGGTTTGAAAAGTCACTTGCATGCAAGATGTGTATACGGAGTCGATCGACAGCAGCCGGCACTGCTCCTCCTCCCGTTCAATAGTGGCGCAGCGAGCAAAAGATCAACATAAATTAATTCCGGATTTAACCGGACTGCTGCAGAGGAGTGACGCTGCCCCGGCACACTGTGCGAGCTCCAATACGGCAAATTGATTCTGCGCTCGATCATTGCCAACGATATTGTTACTTTTAATGAAAAATCCAAGTAATGATTCGAGTACGTTTTTCACGACGTTTTATGTAACGTCAAATGAACGAGTGAGAGAGAGTAAAATTGAACGAACTCGCGATCGAACGATGATTAATTTTACTCGATACTCGAAAGGTTATAGATGGCACAGGCCAGATTGAGGAGAAGAAAGAGACCTTGCGTCCGTGAGAACAATTTATATACATGGCTCTCTCGAGTTTTGATTTTATCGTGATTTTCAAAAATCGGAGTGCTTGTTTACTCGAGCTCGTCAAAGTTTACTTTTCCTCCTCGCGATGTATCCAAGCCAAGGCTTTGTGTCGCGCGCAGTCCAAAATTATTTATCGCGGCCCGGCTTTTAATTGCGCGCCTGTTAACGTCGACAATACACGTAAAACACGTCGCATGATTTATTTCGGTGGCGTTTTTATAATCGACAAAGAGACCGGCCGACATACATATTTTGAGAATTATTATATATCACACACACAGATGAGTTTTTGCCCGTCACCTACATACGCCGCGCTGTGACGAAGTGCGTCTGGAGAACGTCTCGCTAATTTTTTGCGCACTAATATTAGCGAGAACGAAAATCCTGTCGCTTTTCTAGCGCGCATTGTGTACACAATTCTCTCTCTCGATCTCATTCTCGAGCTTGCGTACGCGGAAGTGTATACGAGTCGAGCTTTTTCGGGCTGTTTCTCTTCTTGCGCGCGAAGCTCGCACACGTGCGTGTATATGTGCGATGCTTATGGCTAAGAGCAAAGAAAGAGGGTTAACGTATATACGTATTGTAGCAATTCAGATCGGCTTTCTGACGTCAAGACACAATTTTCGTTTTCTCGGCGTCTGCTGTAAAGACGCGCAGCCACACCGACACGGGCCATGGGATACGTCCGCGGAGTTTACGCGCTGTATACAGAACGCAGTGAAAATATCTATAACAAGGGCAACCAGCTAAAGTACCAGCAGCAGCGGACTCTAATTCGAGTTGCTGCGAAATTATAACGAGGCTGCGGACGCTCAAATGCACTAAATTTATTAATTTCCAAGCTGTCGAGTAAAGGAGAAATGTTTTGATTGAATCTATCTACGCAGAGGACTAGGCAGCTGCGTGTATACTAAAACACATCATATACGCTAGTGCTAGTAGCTAGTGTATGACGACAAAGTTTTGAGTAATCATCGCTGCAATTTCACAATGCATATCGCGATATTATCTAGGCCAGCGTAGTGCTAAAAAATCAGCCCAGCTCGTTATACGCATATTATATTATTGTATAGGCGATTTAATCGAGTTGAGCAGCGGCGGGAGAAATGATCGGCCCAAGATCGGGGCCGTATCGTTGAATTACGGCAATAATTAACGCGGCTGCCTGACGATTGCCTTCACTTTTGTACGTCGTGTGTATGCGCTGTGTGTGTTTGTATAAGTTAGTTGCAGCTAAAGCTAAAAACGTGCCGCCATAATATGTGGGACAGTTCGAGACTGAATCACGAGCGCGGGGATTATTACAATGTGCGATCGTGTGTCTCTCTCTCGCTTTAGGATCTCGAGCATACATATTTATAATCGTGTATGCATTAGCAACAATCGACGCCTTATCGCTCGTTCGAACTTTCATATATACGAGTCGTAAGATTTTCTTTCTCCTTTCTCCTCCGCGGCAATATGTGACAAGCTGCAACGACTGCAATAACTTATCCCGCTACATTGATACAGCAGCGCGCGTCAATTGCCTTATGGACAATGCATTAAGACTTGTATACTTGTGCGTGCCGAGAGCTTTTTTTTTTCATCGCGCACATAATTGTTGCTAAACTATATTCTCGGTTCACCTTCACCCAGTGAAACGATTTTCTTTATCGCGCGTGCGAAATATTCCTACCCACCGAATAACTGCACATTTTTTCTCTGTACCTGCTTTTTTATATTGCGCGAAACAAAACTATATGAAAATCGATAATTGAATCGTCGAAAAGAGCATTGGGAGGAGAGCTTTTACGGAAATTCACGTATCGGTAGGTGTATTATATGGAAGATGGTTGGAGAGCGATATGCGCGTCGTGCGTCAGAGCGTCTTAAATGCGGCTAGATATCCTATGTATAGACCCCGGCTGTGTGCGTTATAGTGCGCGTCAGTGCGCGCGGCCGACGAGCTACATGGAAAAATGTGTTGCACGAAAATAAAAGCACCGAGCGACTGTGTTTCGGCAGCGAATCGATTCTTCGAAATCGAAATGCAGACACACACCAAGCCGGGCTTTGAAAAATTGCTCGGTTCCGATAACCTACTTTTTAATAAACACGTACCGCGCGCGCGAGTGTGTGTGTGCGTGTATATATAGCGCTGGGCCACGAAACACACCGGTTTCCGACAATTCGATCGCGTCAAACGCTGGCCCGATCGTCGGCTATACTTAATGCTTGCGACACTTTCTGCATTTATCCTGCGCGAGCCAAGTTGTCGAACGCATGTATACGAGTATACGATAATGTATCGAAATCGTCGTTGTATTGGGAAGTTTTTACGCGACGATTCTCGCAACTGCCCATACGGTATACGTCCGTGGCTTGGAGGAAAAAAGGTGGCAATTATGCACAGCTCGAGCGAGCGAGGAAACAATAAACGCCTCGAACGCGTCTCTCTCTCTCTCGAGCAATCGAACGCGTCACGCGTACATGTGTGCGCCTATAACGCGCGCCTGGCCTGCACATGTACGTATATAGCTGCAGTATACAGCTATATATAGGTACGCGCGAGGTGGACGCGACCGAAGCACGCCGATCTCGCGTGATACGACGCTGCAACTGCACTGCGTCACTTTTTTTGTTTTCCTAGCTCACCGGCAACTGCTGCCGAGCTTAGCACGCGCCCACATGTCTATTGGCAAATCTATGCCCTATGCCAAGAAAAATTTCGACCATTTAATTGAAGCTCGATTTATCGTTTTCTTATAAAATTCTTTTTCTTTTTTACAGATGCACCGGCGAACGTAGCCCTTTATATGCTCTGTGCCATGATTTCGCTGATGGCTTTCGTCGGAGTCGCAATTGTCCTCCTTGCCTTTGGATTCAGGTAAGCATCAACAATCTGTTTAGGCGCCGATTCATGAAATTGATAAGGAACTAAACGATTGGAAATCCACAGTTACGCTTTCCGGTACTGACAAAGAGACTGCTGAAAAAAATAAGAACTATTATTATTATCCGTATTAATTGAGAAAAAAACGACGGATTATTCATTGAAAAAGCAGTTAAATTAACGATTAGCGATGTATAGTTTCTTCGCCAGTACCTTGAAGCCGATGTAAAATAACGATTAAAACCGATTTACAGCTTGTGCGTACACAGCCTCGTGAGCTCTAGGAATCCTTGAACCATCGAACGTTGATTTTTTTCCCGCTTTAATTATAACGATATACATATATAAGGTTTGGACGATCTGCGTTGAGGCAGTTTGATAGGGTCAAACGATCGGGTCGCGCGGCGTACAACAACATCCTCGCGATCGTGCTTAAAGCTCGAATTGAAACTGCAGCTGCGCGCGATCAGCAATTGAGAACGACGTGCTGCGCCACTGCGTATATATATGTAGCATTGACACAGCAAGTCATTGTGATGTAGCTAGTCAGCGAGCTGCAGCTTTACTCGAAATTCGCGTATGCGGGCTCGAGTTATATAGAACTCGAGCTTTGGCGAACGAATGTAAAATTATGTCATTAGAGTCGCGAGCAGCAATTGCGGCCGATCCGGCGTTTCGCTTCATTTGGCGGCCACTTAAGGAAGGCGATCGCATATTTTTTAATTACACAACAAAAACGCCCGAGCTGCGACGCTTCAATTTTCCGCGCTCGCGACAGTGGACAATTTTTCTGCCGAAGCTATATCCTCGTAACAGCAGGTATATAATACAGCAGCTGCATCGACGCACTACTCGCCGTAATACGCGAGCTGCATCTGTCTAATTGGCCTAATTTCATTAGACCGACAAAAATTTCCGCATTGTGCCTCGTTTAGGCGCACGTGTGCGAGCTCCTCGACAATTTCGTACGATTTCGATTGGTAACTACGTCGTAAATTGTTTTGCAAAATATTTTGAATCAATTGCAAATTATCCGCATTATCATGCACGATTAGCAATTGAGATGAGGAGAAGTTGATTACAAAAATACCTATACATCATACGGTGTGTGTGTGTGTGTCTGTGTGTGTCGCAGTGACGATTGGTGTGCAATGACGAAAACGACAAGAGCTTGCGCGAAACTCCTCGTGCACGAGCCGCTACGACGGCAATGTGTTTTTTTCTTTCTCTCTCCTGGAAACCCGCGGAAGCACTCACGTGTCTCGGCCGCACACAACTATGTATAGCAAAGCTGCATAAAACCTTTGAAATGTTTGCACATTTCTTCAATTGACATTTCAATCCGACGCTGCGGTGGTGGCTCGACTAGTTTGCGTTATTTCAAATTGTTTGGGATTAAACGCAGATCGATCGCGCACATTAACGTTCTTTATCCGCGAATTGCGACGAGCCGCGAGCCAAGGTTGCGCCGTGTCGATCCCAGGGTCGATATATTGACCGATGTCTTCTAGCAACAAAGGTGTGGGCGTTCGTTATTGTTTTTCTCTCTTTCCCTCTCTCTTTTACTCTTTTTCATAGAAAACGTGACGGTTTTGAAAAAAAAAATAAAATAAAATGAAATAAAAATTTCCATCGCGGGTGCGACGAGTTTGCCGAGTAGGCGAAAAATGTTGCAATCGAAAACTATATATTTGTATTACATAAGTGATGCGCAACGGTATTTTTTTTTTTACTTTTTTTTCCTTCGCGATTGTCTCTCACGCGCGTATTGTTTCCATATTATATGCTCTCCCTCTTTGGCGAATAAATAAGCGCGGCTAAAAAATATCTTTTTTCGCGTTCTGTAGCACAATAAACGCGATACTCGTTAACTGTATTATGTATCTTTCCTCGTTGGTATTATGAGCGAAAAATAATATATAACTACGATGCCTTGGTGAAAAATTCCGAATACAATAAAAAAAAACATATAGACGCAATTCCGACGGGCTCGTACCGTGGGCCCGAAAGTCACGGTGGTTGTGTAATGTTCCGAGATTGTTTTACACTCGCAGTGCACATTGTGTACTTATACCACGACGCGCATTTGTTGTGCCCAGGGGCAAAGTCGTATTTTGCTCTTGAATATTCGTATCGCCGCCACCAGAAACAATTACACAACGATTAATTAAAATATATATAGTGATTCATTGAAGACAATTAATGACGATTCCAGTAAAGTGTAATCGTGCTCGTAATATGGAGCTCTCGAGTGCAGCTATTATAGCCGATAATGTTGGTAAAATTCTGCGTTCTTCCCGACGCGCGCGCGTGATTCATCCTATAGCTCTCATCTTTTTTTTCCAAGACCGATTGATAATCACTGAATCGTAAAGAGCGCGTAATGACTTTGTGCTTTTTGCACGGCTCCTTTTTTCCGAAGCAATTGGGATTTTTCGTTCAATTGTTTTTATGGAAGTTTAACGCGCTAACCGAGTGAATCAAAATATACACACACACTTTCTTTGGGATATTTCCCCTGCGTTTTTTGCCTTCTGATCTTAATAAATATAAAAAAAAGGTCGATATTTCCGGAAGAGTGACACACATCGGGAATCGGCGCAGCATTACGCGTGCTGCACTATAAGCGATAAAATTTATCTCCTATTGGCAAAGTTACATCGAGCGATTCACGCTCAAATCCGAGAATCGGCTTAAGAGTTCGTAAGAATATACATCGCCCGAGTTAAAAAAGTAAATAATCATCTTTCAACATTGACTTTGCGTAATCGCGAGCGCTGCTCACGTTTATAAGCTCGATAGTTCGGAGCTGCGATCGCTTTTTTAGCGCTTATACACTCTCTAGTCCGACGCGATCGAGCCATCACTGCACCGCGTGGTCTTATTATAGAATCATTTCGATCGCCGCTGCACATGTCGGGACTTTTTTTACATTAGCCATTATTTTTATTGACGAATCCACGCTCGCGAGGATTATAATCATCTAGACACATGCGCCTTTTTTTCTATCGACGCTCGACGTTAATGTCGCGTACGTCCGAAAGCTTCATGATTATTAAAGCGTTGGCGATAAATGACATTTTTCACGATAGCTCGAGAATCGATTTTTCCGCCGCTAAACCAAAGACCGATAAGAGATCGTACCAGCTATCCTATATTAATTTTCAACTTTGCAATGCGCTATTTAATGATTTTTTTTTTCTTCTGCGGCGCAGCTTGTTTATATTTTTATCGGCCTTTGTATTTTTAGTAAAAGTGCGGCCGACACAACAATCGGACGATCGATAAATCACGAAAAACGTATATATCTCAGCCTACGTAAACATATACACAGGAGGTGCAAAATGAATAAAAGCTCGGCTTGCGTCTCTCTTCAATGATTTCGACAGAGAGGCCGAGTCGTATGAAAAATATAAATAAAAATAAACGACGAAAATGTGGAGCACGAACGAAGCCTCGCACGCGTGTGCCCATGCCACAAACAATGAATAATCCTAATGACGACGCGTAAAAGAGCACATATGCATGTAGGTGTGTATGTGTGCGTGCTGCTACTGCACATATATTCCTTATCAATTTAATAATGTCGCTCTCTCATTGAGAGTGACAATAATGGTTATTTATACGCGCTCTATTATTGTTTCATTGTTCGAGTCGAGAGCATAGTGCATATAGTTATCTGCACACTTATATAAACGTGACCGTGCGTGCGGCAATCGCAAAGCGTCGTCGTCATCGTAGTCGAAGGAATCCCGTCCAACGAGGAGCAGCCCGACTATAATGCTTCGTCCAGCTCGTCGAGAGCTTGCGAAAGCTCGAAATGTTTACAGCATCGGCTCTAATAATAAGCGCGATTGCCGCGGCTATTGGATAAGATGCCTCATAGAATATACGATATAAAGCCGCGAGAAAGCATGTGGTATACATCGCGAGCATATGGGTGTGCGTGCATAAATGCGCGCCTCGATCGTATCGATCCGTTCGCAGTCGACGTACGCGCGTATCGTATTTTCGGAACTTTGCGCGAACACGAGGGTATATTAATAGCGAAATGCGACTGTGTGTGCTTTTGTGTGTGCTTTTTCTATGGAAAATGCGTAAGCGTCGGTGTCTGCCTCTGCCCTCGTACATATATACATGCCAGAATCCATTATACGGCCCACGCGTACACTAGCCGCGGCTATTATTGTAGTCGAGCGAATGAATCGACGTAGATTTTGCGTGTCGGGCGCTGCACACACAATGCAGTTGGTTTTTTTTTCTTTTTTTTTTAATTCTCGTAAGACGCGCGTATATCGTCATTCGCTCGTGAGTTGCCCCGCGCGGAATATACGATACGTTGTTGTGCATGCGGCCGCGATCGTCGTCGTCCGTCGTCGTGTGGTCGAGCCCCGACGTTTCGCGCATGTTACGAGCTCCGCGATCCAAAGACTGACGCGCGTATAAATATATACACATAATTACAGCGCCTCGACGTCACTTTTATATTGCGTTACGATCATCTCTCTCTTTCTATTATATCAACATGTTTTAATTTGGGACAATCAGCTGCCCTCGGCTTGTTTAGCGCTCGCACATTTATTGCGCGCGACTCTATTTCATCTATCGTAAATATGCACCTGACAGCGGCGCGTATAACGCGATTGTATCGATGTGCGAAGATCTTGGCGCGTCATTATCAAGCGCGAGGCGATCGGCGCGTTTCGAAATAATAAAAGCACACGCATGTGCCTCGAGAGAAAAGCAGCTTTATCACACACAATTGCCCTATGACTATTTGCACTTTTCCTCGGCGTATAGTGCGTCGCAGCTATCATAATATTATGATGATTCAGTCGAGCGAAGTCGCGATCGCACACGTGCGTGAATCAGTGCCAGCTCGGCGTCGGCTTTCTCTCTCGCTCGCTTTGCATTCGTAATTTTTCATTATATCGACTCGACTGCCACCTCCTATTCCTCTTTCTTGGCTGTTTTAATTGCAACGCCAATTCGAG